ATATATATATATATATATATATCATTATAACTCAAACATAAAATTTCTTTAAGACATCCTAATTTTTATATTGGATTCGGATTTATTATCTACCACACACTTGTTAACCTTGCCTTGAATTTTCCTTTTCATCTTATCAATTATGGAAAATAAAAAGTTGTTGAAATTGAGCGGATGTAATCAAAGATGATGAGAGAACTTCAAGTTCTCCATCGAAACATACTGAAGATTCCCAGCTAAGGATAATCATTTTCCCACATCAAGTACACTGATTTTACTCTGCTTTCCCTCCATTGAACAATCTCTAGAAGAAAACGATTCCATTTCACTTTACACTCTTCCAAATTTCCTCAGAGAATATATCCTCTCCTTACTGGGAGTGACCCTTTCCCCCCTATAAGAACCATAACCCCACTCTCAGGAAGCTCCAAGAAAGTTCTGAATTATTTGATTCTTGGCTGTAATTTGCAATGACTAGCTCCATTAAACTTGAAGTTCACTCAGCAGAAGAGAAAAATCCTCAGAAATGGCGCATCTCATTACCCGAAGAGGTGTTTAGAAGGTTTTTGTCACAGGACAATCAAACAGTTGACAAGGTGTTTGCAGAAGGATCACTGTTCAGTCCATTGTTGTTTGGAAAATTCTTTGATCCATCTGATGCTTTTCCTCTATGGGAATTTGAAGCTGATAGCTTGTTATCTAATCTTCGGAACTCAGGAAAGAGTACTGTTGATTGGTTTCAGACAGACCAGGCATATGTACTTAAGGCAGAAGTACCAGGTAAGTCTTTACTAAGCACCTTTGATTGCATATCTTTACCATACACAAACAGGAAGTAATCGTTTATGTTCCCTTAACCCTTCCCTAGGCTCCTTACTAGAGACAGGATTAATTTTCCGGTGCTTGACAGATAGGATTGATCATGAAGCTAGGAGGCTGCAACATAAATTTTATGAACATCCAAAAGGGAATCTTGATTTGTATCAAAATTTTTTTTTACTGGCTCTGAATTCTTAGTATGAATGATGATTTGGTTGTTCAAGCAGGATTAGGGAAAAATAATGTACATATTTACATCGAAAATGGGAAAATTTTGGAGATTAGTGGGCAGTTAAAGCAGCAAAGGGAGACTAATACAAAGGACTGGAGGAGCTGCAACTGGTGGGAACACGGATTTGTGAGGAGACTTGAACTGCCAGAAGATGCAGACTGGAGAAAAACAGAAGCGATTGCGAGTAACAACATGTTTCTAGAGATTAGAATTCCAAGAACTGCATCTAATTTTGACAGTCTTGAAGAATCAGGTACCAAAAACAAAGAATCAATGTAAAGAAGAGTACTAACACATGTATGAACTACGAACAATGTTAAGAGTCCATACTTCATAGCCAAAGAATAAGTACTTTTTTAACCATGTAGTGATTTTGACAGAAAGTAGAATGTGCAATTTTGGGAATATAGATTTCTTACAAGTTACACAACTTAGTAATGTAACTTGCCTGGGAAGGCTAGCCACAAGAATGAAAGCGCATGCCCATTGTCCAGCTACCTTTGAACAGGTTAGAAATAAGGCACATGCCGCTGTTTCTTCCATGACTTTATCTGAATTCAATTTCTTCTATTTTCTGTACTTCTCTTCCAGGAATTTGGGTGCCACATTTCCCTACCTAGGAGGAGGGGTGGAGCTTGACCAAAATTCTAGAGGCAAAAATATGACATAAGGACCCAAACTTACACCAAATTCGTAATTTCAGACCCAAACTTTGATTGCACTCAATGAAGGTCACGAACTCCACAAAATTCTCAAATAAGGACCCAATTGGACGGAAAACTAACTTCCGGTTAAATCTCCTATTATTCCGTTAATGTTCCGTCACATTTCACACCCGCCACTTGAAAAAAATTGGTTAAATGATAATTTTGGTCCCTCAACTTCATTGAGTTTCACTTTTTTGTCCCTCAACTTCATTAAATTTTACTTTTTTATCCCTCAACTTTATTGAATTGTACTTTCTTATCCTTCAACTTTATCAAGTTATACTTTTTTGGTCTTTAAACTATTTTTTGCACTTTTTTGGTCCTTAAACTATTTTTTGCACTTTTTTTATCCTTTAACTTTAACAACTGCACAATTTTAATACTTTCGTCAATTTAAACTGTTAACATTCATGTGGCATTTTTTATATTTTTTGATGACATGTATAATCTAATTGAAAAAAAAAATAACATAGATCATCTAACTAGAAATAATGATGACATGAATAAATAAAATAATATGTAGATAAATTTGTATATTTTTAATAAAAATAAAAAAAATCTATCCACCTATTTTCTTCCCCCGCTAGAAGAAGGAGAAAGAAAGAGGGGGAAGAAAATAAGTAGAGAGGTTTTTATATTTTTTTATAAAAAATATAAAGATTTATCTACATATTATTTTATTTATCCATGTTATCATTTTTTTCTAGTTAGATTATATATGTCATCAAAAAAATATAAAAAATACCAAGTAGACGGAATGAATGACTTAAACTGATGAAAGTATCAAAAGTGTGCAGTTATTAAAGTTAAGGGATTAAAAAAAGGTAAAAAATAATTTAAGGACCAAAAAAATACAAAAAATAGTTTATGAACCAAAAAAGTATAATTTAATAAAGTTGAGGGATAGAAAAGTGAAATTTAATGAAGCTGAGGGAAAAAAGTGAAACTCAATGAAGTTGAGGGATCAAATTAGCATTTAACCAATTTTTTTAAGTGGCGGGTGTGAAATGTGACGGAACGTTAACGGAATAATATGAGATTTAACGGAAGTTAGTTTTCCGTCCAATTGAGTCCTTATTTGAGAATTTCGTGGAGTTTGGGACCTTCATTGAGTGCAATCGAAGTTTGGGTCCGAAATTGCGAATTTGGTGTAAGTTCGGGTCCTTATATCATATTTTTGCCAATTCTAGAGGGGCAATTAATAAAAAAACAAAAATTGGGAGTCCTTGTC